CACCAATTTAGTGCTACTTGGTCCCAATGGAATTTCCCATTGGGAACCTGCTAGCACTAAGATGCTAACTGGCTTCATGTTTTTACTAACCTTTGTGTTTGTCTAGAAATGTGAGTTAAATTATGAATCTGGAGTTGATTCATTATCCTGGGCAACAGGAATGTTTTCATGGCACAGCTCGACTCTCAGCAGTTCGGATGGATGAAGGAATGAAGGGAAGAAAAGAAGCCAGATCAGCTAAAACTCTAATTTTCTACCACTCATTTGCATGTCCAGTTGATATAGGCAATGCATTTTAAATATATGACCACCAAAGGGTCTCCAGTTGGATTCTCATTGATTATTATGATTCTTTGCTAAAATAAAGGCCTGTTTTTGATGGTTTTAAGCAGGCTGGACTGTGTTTGAACATCTGATATTTCAGACTGACCAAATCCCAATTATTCAACAGTTAACATTCTTTACAGCAAAGAGGGAACCTTTTGCTAAACTGCAAAACAAGTATTTCTATGTTTTTTTCTAATCTCTTTAGATTCTGATCGATTCTTCTTGGAAGTCAAACATACTCGTATTTAGTCTCAAGAAAACAGAACATAGAAAAAACAAGATACAAAAACATAATAAAAACTTACTAGTAGAAGGTGCCTTCACCCCTTTTATCCCGGAGAGTTATCCGTACAACTGTGAAGATAAAACAGAAGTCGACGTTTATCCACATGTACACACCGTACAAAGATAACCGACAGCTTGTCTAAGTATGTGAAATCGGTGACATGCAATGTCAGTGAATTATTTCTTAATGTCCCAAATAATTGTTTTTAACAGCTGAGAAAATAGAGATAGAACCCCATCCAAAACAAACCAAAGAGGAAAGTCACATTTCAGCCACGCTGTAACTAAATCTCCCAAACCAAAGCCGGAAACCAAGATTTAATCATCTCTTGCTACTTCCAAACAGTACAGTAGGTATAAATTAAAACATTATATCAATACTAATGTTTAAAGCACAAATAGGATACCTTTTTGAAATACTACAGCAGCAGAAACATCACATTTCCCTCTAGACTACACTCCGACCATGTTTGATAAGGCATGGGAACTGGATGAATGTAAATGTATTTACTCTATCATCAACATGAAGCCTTCACACTCAATGACATCAGTTTGGCAAGATTTAATTTCCATCTTAGACGGTATAACAATGTACCACAATGAAATGATGGCTGTTAAATAATGCAGGAGCATTCTCATTGGGTTAAATATAGGTCACTAATTGTACAGGCATCCAACCTTGGGCATGAATAAGGCATAAACAAATGAGCTTGTATGTGTTAAATGTGGACATAGTTGGACTCTCTCTCTGTGTGATAAATGGCCATTGAATAATTCATGCACGTACTACAGGAGGGCAGCAACCTTTAGGTTTCCCATCTGGTGTAACACGATATATACGCCTTTGAGATTACATGAGGAAAAAAACGTACTCTGAGGAAAATGGTTTGTTTGAAAACAGTTCATAACTGGAACTGTTTCATAACAGGAAAAATGGCCATAAAGATTTATGTTTAAAGAGAGCATTCTGCTGCTTCCTGATGGTACTGTCCTTATCGCTGCATTGAACTCCCAAAGAATGCTCAGCGCCATTGGACAAACGGAATATCTCTAAACCGCCATTTTTATCTAAGGTTTTAAAGAAATTTTTACTGGCTAATGATAAATATGAGAAGAGTCAATCTGGCTTCAAACCGTCCCACAGCACTGAGACAGCACTGCTGAGAGTTTTAAATGATCTAATGGGGACTGGTGACTCAGGGAATCCTGCTATGCTAGCGCTCCTGGATCTAACAGCTGCCTTTGACACTGCGGACCAGGCGATCCTCTTAGCATGACTTTAGCCGTGGGAGGGGGGGCATTACAGGATCTGCTCTCTCATGGTTCCAGTCCGGAGCTTTTCTGTGCAGCCAGGAGAATTCACCTCATCTTCAGCCCCTCTCACTTCTGGGGTCCCCCAAGGCTCCATTCTCGGACCTATTCTTTTTCTTATGTATACGTTACCATTAAGGTCAGTTTTCAGGAACCATAATCTTTCTTTTCATTGTTATGCTGACGATGTCCAGATCTATTTGCCTTTAACATCAAAATCCAACCAGCACAGTCATTGTTGGACTGCCTGAACAATGTTAAATGTTGGATGACCTCAAACTTTCTGAACCTGAATGAAAGCAATACCAAAATAAATATATTTGGTTGTGGTTCAGCAGACTTTCCTGCTGGCTTTCTAGCCCCCCTTTCACCTAATATTCAGTCATCTGTAAAAAATCTTGGCATAATACTTGATGACAGGTTCAAATTTGATCGCGGTGGGTCGTAAAAAAACAGCTATTACCAGTTAAGAAATTTAACAAAAGTAAAAAGTACCTGCCACGCAGAGATCTGGTGATTGTTATACATGCTTTTATTAATACAAGGTTGGATTACTGTAATTTTTGATGTGTTGGCCTGGACCACTGACTATTGCACCGCCTGCGGTTGGTACAGAATACAGCTGCCCGTCTTACTAGCACATGTAAACGTGACCACATATGATCCGTCCTACCTTCGCTGCACCGGTTGCTTTTATAATAGATTTTAAAATATTATTGTTTTTTTAATGGCCTAGCCCCCCCAGTATCTGACTGAGCTCCTCCAAATTCCTGCCTCTGCCTTTATGGCAGCGGCAACGAGGCTCTGGAACAACCTGTCCTGGCACAATCGATCTACAGGATCTTTAGAGCTTTTTGAGGTTTGGCTTTTAATCAAGTCTAAGTGGACATCTGGCAAAAAAATTTATTTTTATTTAAATTTTAACTTATTTTATCCTATTTTATTTTCATTCTATTTTATTGCATTGTGTTTATGTATTTTATCTTTTAAGTTTTTAACTTATTTCCTGCAACTGTGATATCTGTACAGCACTTTGGTCAACCCTGGTTGTTTTAAATGTGCTTTATAGATAAAGTTTCAGTTTATTGAATTTCTCCACTGTGAGATCAATGAAGCTCGTCTAATCTAATCTAGTTGAGTAATAAATTATAATCCACTTCAAACCTTTAAACTGGAATATTTTCCTCTCTCTATGCATTCACAGTGAAACAGCAACCGCTTTGGATGTTTTCATCCCATTAAATGGTCGTTATCAGTCCCATAGCATGGCTTCAGATTGTGCCTCCTACCTCCCAGTATTCCCAGTAGGTTGTTATCACTGAATGATTCCTAATCCTAACACTAAAGTAATTGTTTTTTTACCCACAGAATTAATTCATGTATTTATGTGTAAACTGAACATAATTTTAAAAGTTCTTCATCTGTTGTACAGAATAAATGGATCAGCATGGCGCTGATATCGACCAACCCTTACAAAGAACATCTCCTAACCTGTAAACTGAGTTATTTTCTACACTAAATCAATGGGACTGAAACGTGTGGAATTCACTGAAATTAAAGCTTTAAAACTCATTTTTTCCAAGAAGGTAGACTGTAAATAAAGTAGATAAAAAGTATAAAACAGGTAAATAACAGTGAAACTTAATGTTTTAGACATAGCCGAAGCGGCTGTTATCACCCATAAGCTGCATATTATCAACCATAAGGAACCTACAAGAAGGTAGAGGAGGCGGAGCCTGAAGATATTCTATGGCTGTGATAACCGCTGATAACGGCCATTTAATGGTTGATCGACGGGTGGATACAGGAAGTGACCTCTATAACGTTGGGGCTTTAGGGGAGTGGTGGCCTCGTGGTTAGAGCAGTGCGCTTGTGCTCTGAGAACGACGAGGTACCGGGTTCGATCACCACAGCCTGCACTCTGGGTCCCTGAGCAAGACCCTGAACCCCACACTGCTCCCTGTGTGCCGCACAGTGGCAGCCCACTGCTCCCCAAGGGGAGGGGTTAAATGCAGAGGGTTCGTTTCTCCATTGTAGGATCAATAAAATTCTATTTCTATTTCTTAGTATGAAAATGTTATAGTAATCTTTCAAATATCCAGAAAGAACCAGGAAATATTTTCTTGTTTTGTTTTTTTCTTTAGAGAAATTAGTTTTGGCTGTAAGCTGTATCACTGATATATAAATTGATGCTCAGATCGTTGGGGGCTTATTTCTCTGTTTCAATTATTATATCAGTGATGCTGACTTTAGCCAATACCAGTTTATCTTAACTAGCAAACTAAAATAAAGTTGTTTTTTCTTTCTGGATAGTTAAAAGACTAAGATAATTGGTAATAAAATGAGTATTTTAATATAGATAGAAAACAGGTCATAATTAAGTAGATTTAAGTATACTGAAAAAGGCTGGGTAACAAATATCATGATCAATAACTGGATCATAAAGACTTTATGATATATTATATATATTATATTTAACAGAGTTCTTATCACAGCAACCTTGTTTTTAACAAAGCTAAATCTGTCCATTTCAAATTGAGATGTAGTGACATGGATCGATTTTTGCTTTGTTAAAATCACGTTTGCCGTCAGATTCAACTCTTGTGCATAATGTGTTCTTAAGTGAACCCCATGATGCAGTATTTTACATAAACTCTAAAACAGGGTAGCTCTTAGGAGAGAACAAAATATCTCTGCTGTTTTAGAGGCAGATTCTCGTTACTTTAAGAAAAAAGCAAAAACTATTTTCCCCTGGAGGTGAAAAGTTGGTGAGTGCTCTATGTGGGTGTGCTCTGACACACAAGCAGTTCACTATTACAGGCACACAGACAATTTTGTGATGTATAATTCATATTTTCTGTCTTGGAGGACAGTGCTAGCTATTTTGCTGCTCAGGCAGACATAACTGCTTATATAGAGGAACAGTAAAATAAATAAAAATTGACAAAAGTAATATCCATCCATCCATCCATCCATTTGCCGTCATGTTCATGGGGTAGCGAGGGGTGCTGGTGCCTTTATGCTGCTGTCAATGGGCGAGAGGTGGGGTCCACCCTGGAAAGGTACCCGGAGAGAACCCAGACATGATCCCCACCTACTGGGGGAAGAAACTGCCTTCTGTCCATGAATGCCTAGCAGCACACCTGACCTGGCTTTGAGAGGAGGAACCACCCTGAATGGCTGACCGAGGGCCGAACAGTCCTGATAATGAAAAACCCCCAGAAGGACAAAGTCCTAACCAACTATCGGCCGATAACGTGTCACCCCACAACACAGAAGCTCCTTTCAGGCATCATAGTGGTAAAGATAGGCAGCCACATGGTTAAAAACATGACGGAGGCATAGAAAGTCATTGGTAGAAACACCTGAGGAGCCAAACACCAACCACTGGTTGATAGAACAGTTGCCAGAGATTGTAAAACTAGACAACCAAACCTGTGCACAGCCTGGGTTGATCACAAGGAAGCCTAAGATTCAATGCAACTCTCAAGGATCAAGATCAGCAACACTCTGACAATCTGCATGGGGCTGTGGAAATACACACGAGGCCAACTTCAAGTCACTTGCAAAAATCTCCCTCAAATATGGAATGTAACAACAAGATGCTCTTCCCCCCCTGCTGTTCTGCATACGCCTGAACCCTCTCAGCCAAAACTGGCTGCAGATACTGACTCAGAAATGGGGGCCAGGATCAGCCTCCTCCTTTATTTCTCCTTTGGGTTTAATCCTTCAGGCAAATTCAGATTCCAGCAGCTCAT